TCCCACCAGCAGTGTATGAAAGTTTCAGTTTCTTCAGATTCTTATCAGCACGTATCACCTTTTTTTTAAGTTAAAGCCATCTTGTGCATGCAAAGTAGCATCTCATTGTAGTCTTCATAGAGCTGTTTTTAAGCCAAATTTATCAAACTAGTCTCCAAGGATTCACTTTGATTGTGGGTTTAGATTCTTACATTAAAATTCTTTTGAGTTACCAATTTCTTAAGAATGGATTTTTCTTGAAAGACAAGCATATTCCAAGCATTAGAAGTTCATTTTTTTTCTCTCTGGGAATTCTGTAGTTAACTGTAGGAGAATTATCTAAGTACTTATTTGTCTCCATCGATCAACCAGAAGAGGAGTTCCATTAAATTAATATCTGTCTGCCCACACCAATATCCCCAGGGTATATGGAAGGTAAGAGATTTTTATCACCCATTGAAAAGACTATTTTTTACACATGCAAAGGAAACGAGCAGTTTCAGATGTACCACTTTGCCACAGACAAAAATTGGCACAGAAACCTAACCTAGAATTTAAATGGCTGTTCTTTTAGGTACACAAGCCATTTTCTTGAATGATATGAACTTGAGTAACATGCAAACGAACAGACATGCAAGACTAACAAACCAGATTTTCTGTCGTCTGCCACCCAGCTTTCAATACATCCCTGATGTCTGCCATCCGACAGACTGCATCCATCCCTAGATAGATTCCCTATGATTGCTGCCACCAGTGAGGAATATATTACCAGCTACAAACAAAGCAGTGTAAGAATCAGATTCGCCAAGAACCAGGACCAGCAACAAACAAAACAAAACCAGAGTCAAAAAGAAAACAGAGAAACAGAAATTGAAGGTACTATTCTGTTGCCACTTGGCATTAAATCCAGGAGCCAGGAAAAAGCATCGTTGGGTTTAGAGAGTTCGTGAGGTGCCTTGCTCAGAAAACACAGCTCCCGCAGACGTCCACTGGGACATTCTGATGGGACATCTGATACTCTCAAAACATAATTCTCCTAATTGAAACATAATTATAAGAAAAACAGATGCATGTTACTATATATAAAACAGATAAACAACAAGCACTTACTGTTTAGCACAGGGAACTATATTCAATACCTTGTAATAAGCCATAATGGAAAAGAAACTGACAAAATATACATGTATGTATACCTGAAATTAACATTGCAAAATGACTACACTTCAATAAAGAACAAGAATAAAGGAGAAGATTTTTAAGAAAAATAGATAGCAAATGTCAGAGTTTAACTCATTGGTGAGAAAACCAACAGGGTGACAAGCCAGTTCCTAAGATGATGTCCTTGTATGTACACATATATCATCACTGAGAAAAAAGGCGCTGCTGAAATAAGGTTACTAAGTTCAATTCAAAACTAGATAATGTTCTCTAGGCCAACAAAACCTTAACCTTTGGGGTTATCCTCTCTACTAGTAATAGTAATCAGTTGCTTCTCATCAGTTCTCTTCAAGTTAACATCTAACTTTCAAAGAGTTGTCAAATGTTTGGACCATGATTATTATGAGAGTAAATAGTAAGTCAAAAAATGTTACATTCTGCTAGAGAGTCAAATGACCCTTAGGGACATTATTAGATAATCCTCATGCATGGCATTAACAGATAAAGCAACTTTTTTTTGTCTCAATTCCAAGTTTACATAATTTTTGTTAATAGAGAGGAGGTGATTATTACTCTGAGCACTTGGTTGATGGGGTTATCTTTAATGAGGTTCGAGAGGGAGCAGGTTTTTCGTTGGGTTGAACACATTTTTGAGAGTCTTATTAGACACACCTGGGCAGGTTTGTCACTTGCTGACTGAGATGAAATGCACAGCCTAAAAGTTGAGAGTTATGCTTTATTTGGCAAATTTCTGAGGGCTCAAGCTCGGGACACAGCATCTGAAGAGACTAGGAAGAGAGGACATGGCAAACAATTCTGAGATTTTTCAGCAGAAAGTCAGTGGCCAGGAGAGGGGGCATCAGAAAATAAAGGTGGTGTGTTTTTTTGTTTGTTTGATATTTAAATATGGGTTACAGTGTAGTCTGTTTGTAGATGGATGGAACACGTGTTTTTACTTCATCAATTTACTCAGCAATAGGAGGGATTCTGGAGCAAATTTAGTGATTCATGAGCTATGTGCTGATATAAACCATCAGAATCCTAACATAACCAGTACAAAATATAAAACAGAGAGCTGGGACTCCAAAAATCTTTATAAAATCAAGAGCCTTAAAAGTGAATCGAAGGATTCAGGCTCATCTGAATGACAGGAATGGTTTCCTAGGCAATGGAAGCAGGACAAATAAAAGGCTACGGATTAGGAAAATAGAAAGCATGTTTTTGCAAAGACTGTGACCTTCACATTGATTTAATTAATGTAGCTAATTAGCACCCCCCCCCCGCGCGCCCGCCAAACCTCTCCCCTCAGTTAGGTACCAGGAGAATTGAAAATGCACTAATGCCTTCTAGGTGAGCATGTGGTATCCTTGATTCTTCAGGGAGCTACGCACGGTCCTCCAATCCCACAAGAAAGCTGTGAGCTTCTAAACAACATGTTTCATTTTCTGGGAAAAAGTGTGTCATTTATTCATAAAATCATTTTAACATAACTTCTTAACTCACCCCCCTCAAAAGGGTAATCACAAATTTCCCTACAATTTTTTTCAAAATTTTTATTTGTCAGTATTGTAAATACCTCATTGCTAGATTAAATGTCCATGAAAATTTGTTGAATCTTCCTTGCCTGTCTTGAATAAATGTTCATAAGAGAAACATCATGGAAAACATTTCCCTGTTCATTTAAACTTCTCTATAACCCAAAGAACACCCTTCAGAATTTTATAATAGTGGGTTTTTTTGGAATTATTTTGTAAATACAAATTGAGAACTGTGATAGAATTCTATGTTTGTAGAAATAATGGGGAGGAAAAAAGGTACATGTTAGTTAACCCATATTTTACTATAGAGATAAAAATAGTTTCAGAAGAGAGGTTCTCAGTAACCAGTGTGGGGAGTGTGCTAAGAAGACTGAAGTGAGGTGGAAAACTAATGATTTTTCCATGGCAGGTGTTAGATGGGAGATGGATATTATGACCATGAAATTGACTGAATCCTGACACTTCTGTGTGTCCTTCAGCAGAATTATGCAAGTAAAATAGCAGAATAAGCAGATAGTCAGAGCCGACTTAAGGAGGGGTGGCAGATTGATGAAATGCATTCAGATAAACAGGTGAGGACATGAGAGAAATGAACCATAATATTTCTCAGGAAAGAAAGTCCATTAGAGTTGAGAATATAAACCACAGAGGAATCAGTGTTGAACCAGTCATATGTAAAACTGTCATCATTCATATTTTGAAAAAGTGACTATGTAAAACGCATAGCAAAACTGCCTGATTTGCAAATGGCTTTAAAAACTTTTGAGTGAATGAAAAGATTATTAGAACAAAATGAAAGACAATGAATACCTTATTGTTACCAGGTGAGTGTTGGTGTGCACCAATTCAAGGAATGCAGCTAGGGATGAAAAATTCCAAATTATTCCTGTCAAATAGAGGCATCAGTTTCAGTTCACTGTTTATGAAGGGACCTAAGATCTAAGCAGTCCTGGACCCTCTTCCATGCGTCTAAGCCCGCTAACCCCTCTGAACCACCCCAAGCCAGCTTCCCCTTCTACTGAAGCTCTCGCTGAGTGTGCGGCCACAAACATGTTACGTCATCCCAAGACTTTCTGTTTCATCATTCCTAATCATACTGGGGTTTATTCTGATGTGTATGAAGTGTCATCACTGACCCAAGAAGCTACATTAGGTACTGTATTTTGTAGTTCAAAACAAGAAATAGAAAATCAAGATGGCGGGAAAGGTCATGGAAGCCAATTTTTGTAGATATTCTGAGGAAACGTTAAATTAAGAGGATCATTTCAGAGATATTAAACCAGGTCTTCACTGGATCAAAAAGGGGTGGACTAGAGGGTAATAGGGCTGCATATGCAGCATTATTAAAAAGAGTCATGTCCCTGTCTCCTCACTTACCCACCCCATCTCTCCCCAATTCACGGACACACGTTGACTTCAGCAAGTAGAGAGGATTTACTCCTGTCGACCTTCCCCGGTGCCTGAAATTCTCAACAGTGAGGCATTCATTTGGGAGAGAAGTAAAGTAATCTGTTCAGATAAACTTGTGTACTCTGAGAACAGAGATGAGTTTTGCAGAAAAGAATGGGACCCAAAAAAATATCTGAACCCAGAGTCTGTGAATTTGAAGAGCTGAGAGATGAAAACGAGAGGAAGTGTGTGTGGAGGAGATGGAGCACAAGGGATCTAAGAGGAAGGGGGTGATGCAGGAGGTTTTGCCTCATCAGGAGTCTTTCCTAGACGCATTAAGCCTCAGATTAGCAAAAGCAATGTCTGTCTGTTGGAATCCCAAAGAGAACCTAGAACAGACACTGTTTTCACTCTTTGAAACCTTGTGGCAAATTCAGAGGATCAATTTTTAACAATATTTCCCCCTCAGGGATAGATAATGAACTTTTCTACTGATTTAAGTATTTTAATTTTTCTCTGATAGTAACTGTTTACAAAATCGGTCAGTCACATTCACATCCCCATGGAGAGAATTAACCATTTATTATCTTTTAAAAGTTTATATATATAAAATAGATAAACAGCAAAGACCTCCTATAGAGCACAGGAAACTATATTCAATTTCTTGTAATAACACATAATAAAATATATCCTGTATCCAAAACTAGTGTATAGATTGCCCTGTGTTAAGATGCGATGGTTTGAAGCCACATTTAGTACATATTTGGGGGTGGTGATGCAATTTGAAAGTGCTCATAGCCATAAGAGTACTCCTCAGCTGGCTTCTCCTGCCCCAACAATTTGCCTGGATTATTTCAAAATAAATTAGACTGAGAGTGTCTGTTATGCTGACCTGTAATTTATGGATGCATATATGTTTTTACTTTGTAAATATAGTTCATTTACCCCTAAAATGCAAGGCAGACGGATGGGGACTTCAGGAAGAGCCATCACGAAGAGCACGAGTGTGAGTGGAGAGATGTATACACTGGAGCATAATGATGGCAGCCAGTCGGACACGGCTGTGGGGACAGTCGGAGCAGGTGGAAAGAAGAGAAGGTCCAGCCTGAGTGCCAAGGTGGTTGCCATAGTGTCTCGAAGGAGCAGAAGCACATCCCAACTGAGCCAAACAGGTGAGTGCCGTCCATTCCACTCGACCATCTCAGGTTCTTGCTGGAGAAGCGAGTTGGTCTTCATGCTGCGTCTCCTGATGGGATGGTACAGTGTACGCCTTCTTCTTGGCAACAGACGGTTATTTCTCTGTTTCTGGAAACCTGTGACATGTGTGGGTTGATTTTATTTTATTTGTTTCTCTACAGCCATCTAACAAGGTATCATTTGTCAATCTATAAAGTGGTCAGATATTCACCTTTAAGATAAAAAAAATTCAAGCCATATTTACAAATATTCAAGGAAATGCAAAGAAGTATTAAAGAACCAAATTGATTTAAATGCAAGAAAAGCAACAGGATTCTCCTTTTCAAAATGTTCCATAAATACAATTACTTATAATGCAGGCTGTCTCCCTATTGTTAGAGAAAACAAGGTCGGTTGTGCAACTTGAAGTTCAGTCTTCAAGGTACTGTCTGAATATAAACGTGGAACTGAAATGGTTGTGTTTTCAATGCCAGTAAGAACCCAGCAGTTATTTTTACTTTAGAAAAATGGGTCAGTGGATTTGTGCAAAGAATAATGTTTTAATGCAAATTTGAGTTTCAGATATTTTCTACTGCTTATAAATCTTAAAAGCTTTCTGTCCTCAAGCTATATAGGGGGAAAAGCCAACACAGAAGGGAAGATGGTTATTTGTGTATTATAAAATATATTTAAAAAACTGCCTAAAATTATGTAACATTTGATCATAACATATTAGATAATTCGTGACTAGTCTCGGTACTATGGAAAACCAAAGGTAAGTGAGGTGTTGGGCTGGTTTCAGTTGTCAGCGTCTGTTTCCCCTGCCATGCTCTGTAGTTTCATTTATTGTTTTTTAACAGCAAAAGTCTTGTCACAAAATTGACTTATACTGAAAAACGTTCATGAAATCCTTTTTAGAGTTGGCTTGGCATCTTGGAAAGGACGTATCTGAAATGATGCCTTCAACTGGACCAATTGATAAATAAATTAGAGGGAGAGGATTTTGAGCCATTCAGGAATTGAACTCGTGCATCCAGCTGTTTATCGAAACAGAGGTTGGTCTTCCTGAAAGTCATGGGAGTAGGATGGACCCAGGTCAGCCAGCGTCCGTGTGGCAGAGCCACCGTCCCAGTGAGAGGGGCTGTCCTTTGTGAAGAACCGTTGCTCTTCCTGGGGCTCAGATTTCTCCCTTCAGAGTGGAAAGTGTTTTGCATTTGTTTTTGCTTGTTTTGTTCTTGATGGTGAAGCTTCCTGGTATGCACTGTTGATGTCATAAAGGATGCTTTATAGTACAGACTGCGAATAGGTTCTCACCGCCAGATTTCAAGATCCTTTATCTCTTGGATGAAATGGAAATTCTCTTTGCTTTCGTTCTAGAGAACCAGTGTCTCCTATGTGAGAGACTGCAGGGTCAGAGATGGCATAGGTCCTTCTCCAACTTTCCACCATCTCGCTCTTCTCATTTTTCCCCTGTAGCTAGCTCCCTCCCTGTTATTCATGAGTTGAACAGAATTATGTTCTCTTAGAATAAAATGCAGCAATAATTAAAGTTAGGAACTCCCCCCAAGGCACAGCTTTGTAGGTGCTAGATCCAAGTGATTGGCATTGGAACACTGGCCCCTTTGCTTTTTTCATTTACATTGTATTCTAGTTACAGTCATTGCTGGATTTCAGATAATACTTATCTTCCCAAGAGTTGCGTCCTCAATCACTTGCATGGAAGACCATGCTTTCAGAGACTGGGTGTTGATGGTTTAACCAAATAGTTCTATCACAGAGTGACTTGGGGAATGAACTCCGACTCGCTCTCTCTAAGACTCAGTTTGCCGGTGGTGGGGGTAGTTTGGCAGGGACATCCTCCGCAGAACTTGCCAGGTATCAGATTTTATGCTTCTCTTCCTGCGTCACAATTGTACCTTTTATTTGACAACCTATTCTCATTCTTCTTGGCCTTCCCGAAGCAAGTGACAAATGGGGGCACATTTCAGGGATCACTCCTCTTTGTGTCAGTGCATGGCCTGATGTTTTTCCCTCTTCCTTCTTTAACAAGTGACTTTTTCCCCCTTATCCGTGGTTAGGTTTTTCTCTCTCCTGTGAAGAGTCACCAAAATTCAGCATTCTCGTTTTAAGAAATCTTCTGTTATACTGCTTCAGCTTCTGCATATGAGCATCACATCTGTATTTCCAGATTCATCCACACCCAGTAAATATTCCTTAATTTTCATTTCCTATTAAGAAAGCGCTCTTGGGTGTCCTGCTTTAAATAAACTTAGTATTTCCACGTGTCTGAATCCCGGCCCTTCCTTTCAGTAATACCTCCATTCTTAGAGTGTAGGTCTTAGAAGAGTTGTAAGAAGAGTTTTTAGAAGAGTTTTCTAGTTTTTTTAAATTTTCCCCTAACTCTTTCTCTCCCAGGTCCGTCATCTCAGAGAAGACTATGTGATGTTTGTCTAATTTCAAGAAACATTAGTGTAATTGATTTAAGTATCTTTATAATGAAATGAAACCATTCATCTCAGACAGGTGGGGCTTCTCAGGGGGCTTTCTAAATGCACGGAAAATTAAAACAGATTTTCTAATGGTGTCAGTTAATCAAAGATTTGGCAGAGGGAAACAGCATTACTTATATATTACTGTATTCTAAAGAATAGAATATATTTAATGTAAATGTTTAATCATGTTCAGTATTTTAAGACTTTAATTAAGGGCTTTTCTTGTAGTGAGTCTCTTTGGGACCCTGGGTTACAGGTTCCGTCTCCTCTGCCCCAGACAATAGATGATCAGGAAAACACGAAGCTCCTAGAAATAACGTTTGCCCAGCTCTTTTTAGAATGAGCGATTTCAAGCATACCATTTTTTCTGAATTTTTTTTTTATAGCCACAAGTTTGCTCCAAGGAGTATATTTGATTCCTTGTTCAAATCAAGTAAAATTTATTTTAAAACATTGAAGAGCATAGTAAACTATAAATACGTGTATATTTATGTAAGTTATATATATAATATATAAAATTGACTTGGCTTTTATATGTAATTTACTGTGCTCTTCAATTATAGATATAATTATTTATGGAATATTTCAAATATAAATGACAGTAATATTTCAGTATCTCCTCAGTCACACTAAGTATTCGTAACAAAAGTAGGGATACGTTTTTAATACATGTTTTTTTAAATAGGAGAGTGACATAAACAGGGAAGTTTCCCAAAATGCAACTCCTGGTAAGTGGCTTCCAGCAATTAAGCATGTCACTAAACACTGATGCAGGACACAGTAGCTGAATTAGATTGAAAAGGGTGTGAAGTAGTGAAAGAAAGGGAAATTTTAAGGAAAAGCAGCTGATCCAGGATTATTTTGGAATTGAATGAGGCCCTGGGTAAACACAGGACCAGGCTCTGGAACGTATGGGAGGTTTTACCTAGGAGGGTCTGGATGCCGAGCCTGTGTGGTGTGAGGGTTTGGTCTCTTTCCGTCATGAATACTACCAGTGTAATACTTCGCCCTTCTCGCTACGAAATTGAAGGCATGATTGAGAAGGGTCTGTAAATCTCTGAAGAATCATCCCCCGATACGCCCTTGTCATTACCTACAAGTGTAACATGATTCCAATAATCAGTATCACAGGAATGATAATTATTCATGTGTCTAAGAGAATAAAACCAATAGCTTTACATTTCTAGAGCACTTTCCATGCACTGTTCATTTATACATACGTGTGTGTATAACTTCACTCCAAGATTGGTCACAAAAAAAATTAAACTTCAAGAAAAGCTTTTTTGAAGAAAACACCTATAAATGTAAAGTATCATCAGCTTTACAGGCTGGAAATTACTTAATTTATCTTACATTGTTGACAAACTCTATCTCCAGTATTAGACCAGGAACAGTGGGTATTTCAAAATTAGAAGTAGCATTCCCAGTGGGAAGAAGTCATTCACACTTGAAATAAACAGGAGTCAAAGAGCTAAATAAGAAACTGTGAAGCAAGGTGCCAACATAATAAAACCCAGAGCCATTTGTGTGTGTTACCAAGGGGAGTGGAAAGACAAGGCAGTTAAGGATCTAAGTTTCCCAGGATAAGAGCCCTTGCAGAATCAGTAGATGAGTGTCGTCTAGCCATTTAAAGTAATTACTGTTTATTCTCTCACGAACAGCTGATGATCCTTTGTTTAACAGACTAACATCATTTTTTTCCTAGGTACTGGCAAGATTTGGGTGGTTAGACACTAATTAAATTATGGGAAATGTTGCAGAACTATGTTTATGTTATACTATCACATAATTGAATCAATTATCATGTACTAAGGTCATCCTAAAAATAGATACTACTATATAAAAAATAGATAACACAAGGTCCTACTGTAGAGCACAGGGAACTATATTCAATATCCCATAGTAACATATAATGAAAAAGAATATGAAAAAGAATACATGTATGTATTTGTGTAACTGAAACATGATGCTGTTCACCAGAAATTGACACAATGTTGTCAACTGACTATACTTCAATTAAAAAAAGAGATTAAAGCAAAAAAAAAAAAAACACAAGAATCACTTCTATGTTTCTTTAACAGTTGATATTCTGCCCCTTTCCAGCATTATCCTACCATCCAAATTTCTTTCTCCCCTGTCCAGATCCTTTCCTTCAAGACCCTGCTCAAAGATCCTCTGAACTCTGTTGTCCCCTGTTATTTCAGCTTTGACTAGTATCTCTCTTGCCTCTGAATTCTTATACATCAAGCTCTCTTGATTTCACTGTCAGCTCGCTGCGAGCACAGACATTTTGTGGCTGCTGCTATGAGCAAGGGACTAGGTTTATATTGGTTAAAGAAAAAGATCTCACGTGGACACAGATAAGCCAAAAATTCCAGTGACTTGAAAGTGATTCACATTCCCTCCGAGTAGAAGAATTTGAATCTGTATGGAAAAATAAGTTTTTGGTGAAGCCTTCCTCTCGTTTTGTGTTACAGCAGGGTGCGTGGAGCAGGGCCTGGGTC